AGGATTCAGAGTAATGTCAAAGTGCTAAGCAAATATTAGATTTTCCTATGGGGACTAGAGTGGGTTGAGGGCTAGAGGGGAGAGATGTGGTCCAGTGGTCAACAGTTCTGGGCCTGAGTCTAAATCACAAGTCTACTGTGAAAATGATCACAGAACTCCAAGCTCATTCCAGAAATAATGACACCTACCTAAAGGACTTTCTTAAGGGCTAAATAAGAACATGTATACAAAAGCCCGTAGCACACAGTACCAGTAAACCAGTTGTCTTCGAGTCAGTTCCAACTCATGGCAACCCCACGTGTCAGCAGAGAACTGTGCTCCATAGGGTTTTCAATGGCTTTTTTTTTTTTTTTTCAGAAGTAGATCGGCAGACCTTTCTTCCAAGGCACGTCTGGGTGGACTTGAACTACCAGACTTTCAGTGAAATTACAAGTGGTAGAGGTGGTGGTAGTCACCATCTCCTGAGAGCCCCCAGTGCCAAGCTCTGTGGCATGTACTCTGCTGAATAATACCTTTCAATGATCACAATAACCAAAGAAGTAAGCCCACCCCCATGTGACAGACAAGAAAAGTGAGGCTTTAGGGGGGCCAAAGACCGGGTCCAAGATCACAGAGCTCATAAGCAGCAAGGCCATGAATCACACGCGTGTCTACCTGGATCCCGATTCTTCTTTCTCCCCACTCAGCACTGCCCGGTTTTCTTCCAGACTCCAGTGATAATTCATTGGCACACTTACCTGAGCATGATGACTCACATGGGTCAACATTTAAACACGTAAACTTGTAAACCAGAGAGCGGGCACCACCTGCTTTGGCAGCTGACGCGGAAGCACTGGTAGTGTTCCCGTGCGTATCAACTTAGCTCGTCAAAAAACCCATCATCTCCTTAACAGAGGCCCAGCGAGGACAATGGAAAAATCTGGAAAGGGATAGTGGTGATGGCTACACAACCGGATGGATGTAATGGCACTGAGTTGTACATGGATAAAATGCTGAAATGGCAAAAATTTTGTTTATATCAAACCCACTGCCGTCAAGTCGATTCTGACTCATATATATATTTACCACCCCCCCCCCAAAAAAATTTAATGGTTAAAATTGTAAATTTTTTATGTCTGTTTTACCACAACAGACAAAAGAAAACAAAACAAAAAAATCCCCAAAGGAAAATGGAGCTTGCCAATTAAGCCAACAAAACCTGAAGACCACCGAACACAAAATAACAGCAAAAGTTGAGGCACCTTTACAAGTAGCCACACCCAGGTACTGTGGGGAGCAAAAACTCAGCAATGTCAGGGGGGCTTATGACAACCACCTGGACCGCTCACATCAATTTGGTTCCCAAGAACAATGTTTTCACAAGCTGTGTGCCATGCAGAGTCCACATTAAGTGTTCTTAAAATCTTGGATAAAAACCACAAGAAGGTCTGGAAATTCCAGAACTGCAGAGCTGGAGGTAAGCGCCGGCTTCCACCTGTCTGGGTGGGAGCAGCCTAAGAGGCCTTATTGGGGAAGACCCTTTCTGCACTGGAGGTGCTGGAGTAAAGGCCTCCAGGCCCCCAGAACTTCCTAGGCCCTCACCCTCAAGGGATACAAACCACTTATTTGCATAAGAAAAGTCTGCAACCAGGTATCCACAGTAGCCCCAGGAAGCTGTCTGCAGTGAAAAGTAAGATATTTGGACCTGCCAAGTTGTGATGCCAATCCAGGAAGCGGTGTGCAGGGAAGGAGTGTAACTGCAGAAGTCTCTGCTGGGACTCACAGGGGCAGGTTAGCCAATAAGCAAGGTAAGCACGGGCTTACTTGTGTTTACTAATCTGTAGTGAACAATTTCACATGGGTTTTGCTCTGACGTGGTGTGGTCACAGAACCCTTTTCTATCATTCCCTCCTTTGCTGAGTCATAATCCTCTTTACTGATGCTTATAATATAACCCAGGACGAGGCCACGCCGATGTGCCAATCTCTTGAAATGGGTTCAGTTGTTAAGTCTCAAGTCTCACCAGCAAGTTTAGGGTACTGGTGGACTAGCGTTTTCCTCTGTGCAGAAAGGGGCAGGGGAGGTGGGGTTTGATCCCCAGCTAAATCCTCCAAAATAAAAGGCGAGTTGCAAAATCATCCAACACTCTGCCTCGAGGCGGGGTAGCTTGGAGAAGCAGGTATCCTGGAGAACTCCACCTACTGCTACGTGGGAGAGAAGGTTAAGAGCCAGAGCAGCTGCTCATGGAAGAACACAGGAGACCCAGCTTCTTGATAACCGCCAAGGACACTATGCTGTAACAGGAACAAACGAGCTCTTCTGGCTCTTACATAGGCATGTGTGTACACACACACACTAGTGTACACACACACGGGCCTTAACATTTAGAAAGTATTTCTGGACTTACCCTGCTCTCACTCACAGAAAGCTTAAGCCAAGCCAGGTACAAGCCATTAAAAAGCTGGCAGTTTCTGACACAATTAGTTCCATATTCTTTGGAGATACCCCAAGATTCTCCAAAAACAATTAGGGCTCAGTATTTTCCAGCTGAGGAATCCCTGGGTGGTGCAAACAGTTAGCTGCTAACTGAAAGGTTGGAGGTTTGAGTTCACCCAGAAGCACCTCAGAAGAAAGGCCTGGTGATCTACTTCTGAAAACCCTGTGGAGCACAGTGCTGCTCTGACACACAGGGGATCACTATGAGTCAGAATGGACACGATAGCAACGGGAAAAAAAAATTATTTTTCTAATCCAAAGGGCAGCTTCCAGAAAATGATCAAATGAGCCTACAAATGTATATGCAAAAGGAGTATGCTCTCCCCGCACCCACCCCTCCAACTCTGCACCATTTCATCTAAACCACCAGGATCCAAGCATCTCCCCTGGAGCACCCCACCTCTGCCCAGCCCTTCTCCAAAGCCTTGGGCCTACCTTGCGAATCCCTACAGGGGCACGTTGCTGGCCCCCGTCTCAGAAAATACCAAACCAAATGCATACATCGTTCAGGTCTACAGGGTCTTTATTTCGCAGCCTCTAGTTCTGAAGTTCCACCAAGAAGGTCACTCTTAGCGGCCACTTCTGACAGGACAGCGGCCAGCACCTGGCAGATGAAGCCTCATACATCAGGCGGAAGAATCCGGCTTGTCCACAGATGCTTCCGCTGCAGTTGTCAAAAACACTCATGCGAGCCGTGTTCCAGTTGGAAGGTTCAGAAGGTGCACAGTGAGTGGTCGGGGCTCCTCTCGGCCACCACGAGGGCCCACGAGTGCACTGTAGAGGGGAGAGAGAAAGCGGCCACAGCCATTGCTTCCAGCCCCACCCCTCTGGCAAACGGGGAGAAAGGAGAAGAAAAGTCAACAAAGGAGGGGAAATCGAAGCAGCACCGGAGCAGAAGGCGCTGTGTCCCCGCTCCCTGCAGCATGAAGAGCTATTCACAGAAGGGCTCTTGCCAAGGGTTCTCCCCTTTTCTGCAGAGGCCAGCGTGCCTTCTTCACGGGCCAGGGCCACAGAGTGCCCAGGTGGGCCTCGGGAAGCAGGAGACCCCACAACATTGACAGCCCCTCCTCACCTACTCCCACCACCGCAGCCCTTCTCAGGAAACTGAAGGAGGTGCAGCTAGGAGCTAACTGGGAAATGCTAGAGTTTTCACCCAACACCAAGGAGCAGGACAATACAGAGGCCAACATACAAACCCTGGAGCAGCTCCAGAGAAAAGAGGGACCAAATAAAAACAAAACACCTTTCCAGAGAGAACAGAATTCCAGGGCCTGAAAGGTGCTGCTAACAGACTTTAAACAGAAGCTGTTAGATGCAGCAAATAACCTCAACCCTGGGAAAACAGCTAAAAGGGAAGCCTCTATCCACCTGAGAAGCCAGCCCAGGGCCCTGCTTCCAGAAGCCAGCAGATGTCGGGGTAATGTTACAGGCGAGTCCTCACTTCCCTAGCTCCTCGATAAGCCACCCAGCTGAACCTCGGCCCACACCTGCCAAGAGCCGTCCTACAGTGACGAGCAGCCTCCAGGGTCAGGTAGGTCTCTAATCTAGCCTGGCCCAGACCAGCTCTAACTCGAGTCCTTGACAGTGTGCTTGCTTTTTCCAGCCAACCAAATCCCCATCCATTTAAATTATCACCGTGATTTTTTTAAAGTTACATTTCTAAGACAAATAGTGTAGAACCAGGTCAGGGCAGAAAAATACAAAAGAGCACAAAGGGTGTTACTAACCAAAAGTCAGCTAGCGCTTTCCTTTCCCTTCAAAGAAAGAGAAATTACTGTATCTGTGTGTATACAGATGTGTGCATATATACATAATCTATATACACACACGCATGCAAACATACACGTGCACATCCATACACACATATACCCACATACATATGCACACACAAACACACACATGCATACATACATTAACACACCACACACACATGCACACATACATACATACACATACCCATTTTTTTCCCTGATATTCAAAATTCTTTGTGAACTAGTCATGCCTAATTCTGCTAAACCCTTAGGAAAAAGAAATAAAGAAAAGGAGCCACAAACGTGTATACTTCCAGGAGGGGCTGGCCAGCTCTGAGCACTCTCACTTTGACATTTCACACAGCCATCACAAAAATAAGGCCAGAACCTGACCAAGCCCACAGACCCCTATAGGGCCACACGTCCTGAACATGGACCCAGGAGAGCAGAGTGTCAAAATCCTAAGTGTACAGCTGAACATCCCACGGGCTTTTTTTAGGTTCTCGATCCTCCCGTTTGGTTCTACTTTCGTCAACAGTTGCTTATTTAAAAAAAAAAAAAAAAATTAATGTGTTTCAACCCTTCACCTCTTAGCAAAAACCTGTTCAAAGAGGGAGAAGAAGGAGTGGCATTTTAAAGGGGCGTCCCAAGGTTGGTCGAGGTGCCTCTGGTGAGGTGATCTGGAAACAAGAAGCTCAACGGTGGCATTCTGAGCAGAGGTTCGTGCACACAATGGTGCCAAAGTTTTATAAATAGTTTGTTTTGGTCTCAACCCCTCGGATGGACGTGACAGCTTCCAGATCCTTCACACCCCAGGCTGTGGGTGGCCAGCTTTCCACAGGATGTCAACATGTTGGGAAACAGGTTTTACCTAAAAAGAAAAGGAAGAAGAAGGGTCAGTGCCTTCTGGCAAAGCCCGCCCTATAGTCTCCATCTGCGGCCACACCGTGGGAGAATGGCGCTGCCGTCCCTCCACCAGCCGCTCTTGTCTCCCGTTCACTTGTGTTTCTGCCACGCAAGCCATCTTTTCAGTCTTTGAAAATCCCACACCCGCAACCTCAAGGCCTTTGAGCACGCTGTCAGGAAAGTTCGATCACTCCCCCAGGAAGCTCTTGGCCTTTCTTCAGCTCCTGACTCCCTCAACAGACCCCCTGGTACACAGCCTCTTTTCCCCTTGTCTCTCTCCTTCCTAGCACTTCTACAGGTGTTTATGCCTGGGGTCAGCAAACTTCGTAAAGGGCCAGCCCTGTTGCCATCGAGCTGATTCCAATTCATGGTGACCCCATGTGTTACAAAATAAAACTGCTCCATAGGGTTTTCTCGGCTGTAATCTTTACAGAAGGAGCCCTCATGTCTCAACAGTTAAGCATTCAGCTGCTCACCAAAAGACTGGGGGTTCAAACCTACCCAGCAGCTCTGCAGGAGAAAGACCTGGCAATCTGCTTCCATAAGGATTACAGACAAGAAAACCCTACGGGGCAGGTCTACTCTGTCACATGTGGTCACGATGAGTCAGAATTGACTCGACAGCACCCAAGAACGATAATCTTTATAGAAGCAGATCGCCAGGTCTTTCTTCCATGGTGCCACTGGGTGGGTTCAAACCGCCAACCTTTAGGTTAACAGACGAGCACAAACCATTTGCACCACCCAGGGACCTCTGGTAAAGGGCCAGAGAGTAAATATTGTAGGTTCTGTGGGCCACATGGTCTCCATGGCAACTACTCAATCCCACCACTGTGGAGTGAAAGTAGTCACAGGCAGTATATTCATGACTGTGCACGGCTGTGTTCCAATAAAACTTTATTTGTGGACACTGAAACTTGAATTTCGTTTGATTTTTACGTATCATGAAATATTTTTCTTCTTTTGATTCTTTTTTAACCGTTAAAAAAATGTAAAAATCATTCTTGGCTCATGGGTCTTACAAAAACAGGCAGTGGACAGACTTGACCTGTTGGCTGTGCTTTCCTGACCCCTGGTTTTTGACACTAGCTGATTAGTGTGTCTCTTGTTTAGACTGGGAGCTCCTTTTGAGCAAGGCCCTTGTCTGAGCGTGCTCACCTTTACAACGCCAGCAATGAGCAGTGTCAGACAACGTAGGGAGTGCAAGAAATATGTTTTCACTAAATCCATTCGAGACATCATCTATAGGGACTTAGAAAAACAGGGCAAAATCCAAGAGGACAGAGCTGCCACTATCATTTACAGATGCTTGGTCTTGGGCATCATATAATCACATGCGAAAACAATGATGATTTAATTGAATTTATAAAAATAATACTCTAGTACCCCAATATAAATATCAGATCACGGAATTATTTATTAAAGAACATGGACATCCTATTCTTAGGAAATACACTAAGGCATTTACAATGTATGTAACTTACCCTCAAGAGGTTCAGAAAAAAGTCTATACACACACACAACACACGCACAGAGCAATAATAAAACATGGGATAAAATATAACAACAGGAAAATCTGGGTAAAGGGTATAAGGGCATTCCCTGTACTATATTTTTTTTACAATTTTTTCCAAGTTTGAAGTTATTTCCACATAAAAACTTTTAAAAAGAAACAGATACGGGTTTCCATCCTCATGTTGACCACAAAGGTATCCTACTCAACGTACAAGAGGAAGAAAAACATAAATCCACAGCAGCCAGGTGAAAGCTTTCTCTTTTAAAGGATTCACCTGCCACCTCTTCTGGATCAGGGGGTGGGTGGCTACCTCCAGTGACTGACATACATGGAACCCAAACACTTATCCCCATTACACAGAACAAGAGACTGAGGACCTCAGATGTTAAGACCAGGTCTGATTTCACAACCAGGACTTCTGCTGGAACAGGCCAACGGTTCGATATTGAGGATGGGGAGGTGGGGTTGGAAGATGGGCAAAGAATGGCGAAGCTTTCAAAAACCAAACCAAGAACGGGGCCAGAATAAAAGGAGCGGATTCCCAGGCGCTACTCCAGAAGAGACACGCCTGTGAACCAGGGCTTCAAACCTGTTCTAAACGGTTCAGTCACGGCAAAAGGAAACAAGGGCAGTGAACTCGCTGCACAGCAACCAAATCTCTTGTCTATGTCCTTTTGACCCTAGTGGTGCAGTGGTTAAAGTGCTCAGCTGTTAACCGAAAAGTCAATAGTTGGAACCCACCAGCTGGTCCACAGGAGAAAGATGCAGCAGCCTGCTTCTGTAAATATTTATAGCCTTGGAAACCCTATGGGGTAGTTCAACTCTGTCTTATAGGGTCATTATGAGTCGGAATCAACTCGACGGCAAAGGGGAAAAATGGGCAGGAAACAGGGAGCAGCGCCCTGCTCAAAGATGGCAGCCAACTGAGCAGCTTTGAATTGTGTCGCTGTCCACAGTCCTGCCAATAAGCCAATCTCCCACATAGGGAAACTTTCAGGGGCCTAATACAGGAGATTGGACTACTGGCAGGACTATGGAGAGTGGACATACATTCAAAGCTGCCTGTTTCCTACTCAGGTGAAAAGCCGATGTATAAGAGAGTTGGATGCTATACAATGCATACACCGCCCCTGTTTCCAGGGGCCACAACTGAACCAACTGGAACCAATTCAAAGCCTTGTTATGAACCAAAGCAGACTACAGCAGGCCAGCCGAATCTGAAAAGCAGCTTGCTTTTGTAAAAGCATTGCTAGTTAGGATTATCTCTGCTTGTTTTCATTATTTGCTGATTACTATGCAGCCCTAAAGAAGCAAAAAACTAAATAAATCAGACCAACGCAGTAGGAAGTTTTCATGGCCACACAAATTCCTATTCACCTATGCTCCATCTTCATTGACTTATGTAAAAGTTTTAAGGTGCCCTAGCTTAGAACAAAGGAGCCCTGGTGGCACAACAGTTAAGCTAACCAAAAGGTTGGCAATTCAAACCCACCCAGCTGCTCCACAGGAGAAAATACCTAGCAATCTGCTCCCGTAAAGATTACAGCCTAGAAAACCCTACGGGGCAGTTCTACCGTCACTTGGGGTCACTAAAAGTCAAAAATGGACTCAATGGCACCCAACAACAACAGCTTAGAACGTAATACCTTAACTGAGAACTGCCCAATATTGCCAATAGGGCTTTTCAAAGAACCAATAATGCAACATGAGATGCCCCTATTAACAGAGAAGCTATGCACTTTACAAGGGAAGGGTTGGCAGATCTTTATTCACACTAATAGAGAAAGACTTCTGATGCTGCCCCACGGGCAGATAGCATGTCTTGACATCCATGAGGTGCCTACCGGTCACCAGCTCCTCTTGGATTCCTTCCAGCCCTCAGAAGCTCACGATGCCCAACATTTGCACATCCACTGCCCATGGAGTAGTCCACACGCCAATGCTCCTAACAATTCAACTACTCAGAAGCAACATGAAGCATGCGGAGGGCATAAGGACCTCCTAGCCCAACCATTCATGGCTCCTTAGTAAAAAGAAGTAGCCTGAAGAAGTCCCAGCCTTGTATTTGTTGTTGTTATCATTAGCTGCTGTCAAGTTGGCCCCAACTCCTGGTGACCTCGTGCACAATGGGACAAAACGCTGCCTGGTCTTGCGCCATCCCCATGATTGGTTGTGAGTGGATCATTACGATCCATATGGTTTTCATTGAATGATTTTTGAAAGTAGATCACCAGGCCTTTCTTCCTAGTCCATCTCAGTCTGGAAGCTCTGCTGAAACCTGTTCAGCAACATAGCAACACACAAGGCTCCACAGACAGAAGGGTGGTGGCTGTGCGTGAGGTGCACTGGCTGGGAATTGAACCTGGGTCAAGAATGCTACCACTGAACCATCAACATCCCCAATGCCCTGTGTTTAGCAACTGCCACGGGGTTCGAATGGGGAACTCTGACCCGGGCCTGAGTCTAGGATACGCAAGCGAGGTCTATTTTCTCCTACTCCCAGCCTACCCTTCAGGGGCCTCTTGCTGCAAACAGCCACCAGATGCCCCTTGTTCCAAACACAAGATGCCAGGCACAGTCCCCAGCGTTGCAGCAGAAGTCTCATGGGTTTCTAACTATATTCCCGCAGGAAGCTCTATCCACAAGAGGGTGGGAGGCAGGCATTTCTAGACCACATGTCCACACCCTCACAGGGCCACATCTTTTCCAAACATAAGAAACCCGGAACAGAGCCATCCCTCCAGCGGGGAAGGCAGGGCTGGCAGAAGCGGCTGTTCTCCCAGCAGCGTCCCTTTGGGCTGCACTTGTTGTCACAGCTGCCGGTGCTGCCTGCCAGATAAACAAAGTGCTGGCACCTGCCTCGCCTTGGGAAACGCCTAGAGGGTATATCAAAAGTCTCCCATAATAAGCCAGAGATACACCGAGGCCCAAAATATCAGCCACAAACTGCACGCTAAGCCAATCAAGCTCAGAACAAATAAAACAGAAATTCAAACGCCTTTTGAAACATGGAATGATTTCAAAACCCCAGGGTTGTCTGTACTCCATTTAGCCATCATTTCTCCCTTCTAATGAGTCTTTTTAAGTACAGAGCTGGAAACTCATTTCTACAGACTTTTTTTCTTTTCTTTTAATTCACATCTGGCCGTAAATACCGGAGGGCTGGTCTCACGGATATTAAAACATCCCAGTTGGATAGGATCATAAAAACAAGGTTGTCAACAGAAGCCTAGCCCCGCCCGCCTTCTCCTTCCTCTACATTTCCTCCCTGGCTGGAAGAACAGCCTGGCTGATATGTACAGGCTCTAAGTCATGAGATGTTATCAGAGAATTGCAGGTGTGATAATAAGAGGCAGGTTACTGCCCTGGTGTCCAAAACATGATTTTCCTCTTTCTACTCAAACACAAAATAACCCCAGGTCATGGTCCAGCCACATCCGATTCAAATGGAGTCTGTTTCCCAGAGGAAACAAAAAATGTAGACAAGCTGTATCTAAACAGGAAAAAATAGTGTCTGTGAATGTATTATCAATCACTGTACAGAGCGGAAGGTTCTCAAGAACACTAATCTGAACATAAAGTTGTCCTTAACATTCTTGTTCCTTCATACTTATTGACCTGAAAAGTTACCCATGATATGCTGTTCAGGTGGGGAAAAAATGCTACAGAACAGCCTGTATAACATGGTCCCCTTTTTCTACAAAAAATAAAATCCCACAGATAAGTACTCACACACACTCTGGTGGCTACTGCGAAGTAGTGAAATTATTCATAATTTTACTTTCCCTTTTCCTTATCTGCAGTTTCTATGACATACCTTAGAGCTGTAAGAAGAAAAGCTGTTACTCGGTGTTTCTAAACCTTGTTTGTGTCTAAGAACCAGGTTGGTCCTGTGTCTAATGCTTCACCTCCAGGTTTACGCACATCCTGACTCTGTCTCAACCACTAACAGCACCAACTTCTGGTATGGAAAAACCCATTGCCATCAAGTTGAATCGGACTCATAGCAATGCTTACATGACAGGGTAGAACTGCCCCATAGGGTTTTCTAGGCTGTACATCTTTACAGGAGCAGACTGCCACATGTTTCTCCTGCGGAGTGGCTGGGGGGTTCAGATCATAGCCAAGCGCTTAACCACTGTGCCACCGGGGCTCCTAACTGCTGCTTGAAATTCAGTTCTTGAGAGCAAACACAGAGCACCTGACAATGGTTAACGAAAGTCAGCAGGAGACAGTCAAAGTAAATAATGTTCAAGAATAAACGCTTATGCCAGAAGAGAAGGTTGGAAATGAATAAGCTAAAGGCGTCAATATAGGGTGTTAGAAAAAAGAAAGCTTAAGGAGAGGAAACAGAAATCAGTAAAACTGAAAATAATAATGGAGAGAATCAAAGAAGCCAAAGGCTGGTTCTTTGCGTAGACTAATAAAATTAACAAGCTTCTGGCAAGATTGACCAAGAAAAGGGAGAAAAGGCAAAAATAAGCAATATTAAAAATGACAAAGGGACCATGACTACACATGTTGCAAAGACGAAGAAGATAATAAGAGAATGTTATGAGCAACTTTAGCCCAATACATTTGAAAACTTGGATGAAATGGACAAAATCCTAGAAAAATACAACCCATCAAAACTGACCCAAGAAGAAATAGATAAAGTCTAATAGTCCTATAACTATTAAAAGAAGTGAACATCAATAGTTTAAAAGATTTTCACATAAGGAAAGCATCGGGCCCAGTAGTTTTAGCAAGTTCTACCAAACATTTAAAGAACAAATAATTCCAGTCTAATGCAAACTATTCTAGAGAAAAGGAAAATAAGGAACAGGCCTCAATGCATTTTATGAGGCTAATAAAACTGTTACCAAAGGCTGACAAGGAGGTCACAAAATGGAAAAATGACAGGCCAGTTGTAGTCATTACGGGAGGCAGGAAAGTCGTAAAGAAAATATTAGTAAACTGAATGTAACAATGGGTGTAAAAAGATAACATGATCACACTGGGTCTATCCCAGGAATGCAAAGTTGGTCTAACATTACAAAATCAATAAATGTAAATGTATTGCCTTAAAGGGAAAAGTATGATCTTCTCAATAGAGCTAGAAAAGCAGTTAATAAAATTTGACATTATTCATGAATATACCATGGACTGCCAAAAGAACAAACAAATCTGTCTTAGAAGAAATACAACCATGATCCTCCTTAGAAGCAAGAATGGCAAGACTTCAGCTTGCTCATTTTGGACACGTCATCAGTTAAGACCAGTCGCTAGAAAAGGACATCATATTTGGTAAAGTAAAGGGTCAGCAAAAACAAGGGAAACCCTCAATGAAACAAACTGACATAAAACCACAATGGATTCAAACATACCAACGATCATGAGGATGGCAGAGGACCGGGCTATATTTCGTTCTGTTATATGTAAGGTGGCCATGAGTTCACAGCAACTAACAATATGATTTAAAAAACAAAACAGAACTCTTAGCACACTATTAATAGAAGGAAACTTCCGGGAAAAAAAAATTCTAACAAAACACTACAGAAAACTCAACTCTTGGCTGTCAAATGCTGAAAGCACATCCTTTAAGATCAAGAAAAAGACAGGATGCCTATTATCACTACTTCTATTTAACAATGACTTAGAGGCCAAGAGTAAAAAAAGACTAAAGAAATAAAGTGTTTAAGGACTAGGGGGTATAAAAGTTCTTTTTAGTCTCAGATTACATACACATACAGAAAACCCAAAAGAATCAACGTTTATATTACTAGAATAAGAGTTTAGCAAAGTTACTGCCTACAAAGCCAATATTTTAAAAAGTCAACTGCATTTCTAGATGCCATAAACAAAAAGTCAGAAGATGATATTTTGAAAAAGATATGAAAATATTAAACACCTGGGAATATATCTATAAAAATTTACAAAACGTTTATGGAGAAATGATTAAAAATACTGAAAGACATTTTTAAAATACTAAATAAATGGAAAGTCATTCCACATTCATGGACTGGAAGATCCAACATCATGTTGTTGTCATTGTTGGGTGCTGTCAAGTCGATTCTGACTCACAGCAACCCCATATGACAGAGCAGAACTGTCCCATAGGGTTTTCTTGCTTGTAATCTGTATGGAAGCACATCACCAGGTCTTCCCTGCAGAGCCTCTGGGTAGGTTCACACCGTCAACCTTTCAATTAGTAGCCAAGCACTTAACCACTGTGCCACCAGAGCTCCTTTTCCAACATCATAATGGTGTTAAAAAAAAAAAAAAAACTATTATTATCAAGTTGATTCCAACTCATGGAAACCCCATGTGTGTCAGAGTAGAACTGATCTCTATATGGTTTTCAATGGTGTAATCTTTCAGAAGTAGATCACCAGGCCTTGCTTCCAAGGCACCACTGGGTGGACTCGAACCACCAACCTTTTGATTAGCAGCCAAACGCAAACCATTTGTGCAACCCAGTGTCGATTCTCCCTAAAGTGATCTGCACAGTCACAGCGGTTCCAATCAAAATTGCAAAAGCTGTTTTGTTGAGTCTGACAAGTTGGTTTATAGAGAAGAGCAAAGGGCCAAGAACATAGTCAAGGCCGTGCTGAAGAGGAACACGTCAGGGAGGTACAGGAAAGAGGGCTTGCCTTACCAGGTGTGGACAGGTAGTGGAAAGGTGGGAAAAGCTCAGGATTGGGAACAGCCTGGATTTCTGTCCCACCTTTGATACTAACTAAAGTCCCCGGGTGGTACAAATAGTTCCCGCTCAACTACTAACCTAAAAGTTGGCAGTTCAAACCCACCCAGCAGCGCTACATGGTGATCTGCTTCGGTAAAGATTACAGCCCAGAAAACCCTATGGAGCAGTTCCATCCTGTAACACAAAGGGTCACCATGAGTCAGAATTAACTCAATAGCAATGGGCTTGGGTGGGTTGCTATTAACCAACTGGGACCTTACACAAGCAACGTCCCCCCTCTCTGGGTCTTCAAGCCCTCATCTCTACACCACATTCACCCCAGTTCTTATACTGTAGAATCAAACATATACAAAGTACATCCCAAAAGGATCCGAAAACCCACACTACAATCCTGAAGTCCCAGAGTCACTCTGATTTTCCTACAGACTATTTTTAGGAAACACACCTGTCTTTGGAACCCACTGGTAATTTTCACTCCAAGCAGAAATACCTCACATGCCATCAGCTGTCGACTTAAGCAAGGCTGCAAGTGCCGTTTCTGTGTGCAGTACTTGACAGGCATGCGGCCACTTGGATCAGATTCCGCATGCCCCACCCCCAGCCAGTGCATGACAGGCTCATTATCTGAAATCCAGTCCCACTTTTCCTCCTATAAATCTGACTTCTCAGTGTTGTCAGGTTGGGGAAAGTCGGGAATGAGCACCTCTCTTCTGGCTTTCTGGGGGCGGTGCATTTCTACGAAGAGGTCAGAGCAGATCCCTTCTGTATGTAGAACCCCTCAAGGCCAAGCACTTAACCAAAGAACCAGAACACAAGGACACCACGCCTGGCCTGGTGGTGTCTGCAAAGGTGAGCTGTCCCATCAGCCTCCCGCCCAGGAGCCTACTCCGTACCTGTATTTGATATCAAATACTGTGGAGTCCTCGTCCTCATCATCCTCTTCATTCAGTGGGGCCATTTCCACCCGCTCAGCCGGAGTGGTGATGATGTCGTACTTCCGGGTCTTCTTTAACCTCTTTCCCGACCTGGAAGAGAAGCCTGGTCATGAGAACACAGCTTAGAGAGAAGGGGCCAGCCTGAGCCCTCGCCAGGGAGGACCCGGCACAGGCGGCTGGTGCTGAGTTAGGCTCCCTTCCTCCCGTCTGAGGACAAGGATCCCAGTGAAGGTAAGCCACGCTTCTGCCTTCACCCGGCCACAGAGGCTTCTCAAGGGAGACCTGGTTAATACCAGCTGTGCGACCGTAGGCAAGCTGCTGAACACTAAGCCTTTGTGGTCCTCACCCACACAACTGAGATTATTACAACTTCCCTGGAGCTAAGAAATTCAGTCATCAAGATAAATAATATCTCAATGCAATATTTTTGGAGCCCTGGTGGTGCCGTGGTTAAGCGTTTGGCTGATAACCAAAAGGTCGGCGGTTCAAACCCACCAACCACTCCACAGGAGAAAGATGTGGCAGTCTGTGTCTGTAAAGGTTTACAGGATTGGAAGCCCTACGGAGCAATTCTACTCTGTTCTATAGGGTCGCTATGAGTTGGAATTAGGCTCAACAGCAATGGGTTTAGGGTTTGGCAATATTTTTGAAAGTCAAAATTAATGTAAATAAACAATCCATGATGAACAAAACGTCAAAATGCTAAATGAGGATAGTATGGAGCCCGGCACTTGCACAGTTCTCCTTGTCCCCTCACCCCTGTCCTGGCCCTGCTGTGCTGGGGTGGGGTCACTGCTCCCCAGCACAGGCGGCACAGCCCGGTGTTGAGACTGCTGCTCTGTGGGCCTGCCTGGCTGGATTTGAGTCAGAGCCTTGTCCACTCTACCTGTGGGATCATGGACAAGTACATTAGTCTCCCTACGCCTCAGCTTCCTTATCAGTAAAATGGGATAAACAACCAAATAAATACAATTTAGAAAGAAAAAAATAATAAGGCATTGGTGGTTCAGTGGCAGAATTCTCACCTTCCATGAAGGAGACCTCGACGCAATTCTGGCCAATGCACCTCGTGCACAGCCACCACCTATCTGTCAGTGGAGACTTGTGTATTGCTTTGATGCTGAACGGGTTTCAGTGGTGTTTCCAGACTCAGATGGAGTAGGAAGAAAGGCCTGGTGATCTACTTTCAAAAATCAAACGATGAAAACCCTATGGATCACAATGGTCCAGTTTGCAACCAATTATGGGGATGGTGCAGAACTGGGCATTGTTTCGTTCTGCTGTACATAGGGTCTCCATGTGCTGGGGGCTGACATGAAGGCAGCTAACAATAATATAAAATTAAAATTCGATGCTAAGCAATAACGGAAATGTGATGATAACGTTCAGGGCAGTAAATGAAATTCAATGGAGTCTCTATGGCACTCATTTACATAGAAACTTTCAAATCATGAATAGCATTAAGTCACTTTAAATTGGGCAATATTCTCTGATTTACTTAAGGGAACTCTATTTTATACACTTGAATACTGTCACTGGGAAAAATCCTAGTGGGTAGCGTTGCACATTGAGATTTTTAAATAAAAACCAAATAAAATGGCTAGTGTGAAAGTTGAACTGAAAATCCTGGCATTTCATTGGCATTTTTAATAATCGCCTGCTACAGTCATATTCCTGGTTTCAAACAGATGAATTCATTACACAACTCTCACATTTATGAGTGGGAGACGGGGACAGGTCATTCATTTAGCTCATCACTTGCCCCGTTTTGCATGCGCCATAGTCTACAAAGTTTTATGTGTTATTTTCATGTTGCAAGCAACTGCAGGAAACAAACTGGTGGGAATCATCATGTAATCAGTATCTTGTACATTCAAACCTCAGCATCTCTCTATGCAGCCACGGAGCATTTAATCACTGTGACCAGCCCTGTGTAATTCTGGAGCGTACCGTGTACTCCTCAATAAATATTTTATGTTTCTCTTCAAAATAATAAATAAATAAGATGGGATAATAATAGTACTTGTCCCTCATGGGCGAAGGGAAATTAAGTGAGATGGTGCACTTAACAAACCTGTACACAGTAGGTGCTCAGCTAAAGTTAGGTATCACTCTTAGGAGGAACAATAAACCAAAAAAAAATTCCAAACCCGTTGCCATTGAGTCAATTCCAACTCATGGCAGCCCCATGTGTTACAGAGTAGAACTGCTCTATAGGGTTTTCTTGGCTGTAATCTTTATGGAAGCAGATCACCAGGCCTTTCTTCTACAGTACCATTGGGTGGGTTCGATTCACCAATCTTTAGGTTAGTAGTCTAGTGCAAACTACTTGTGCCACCCAGGGGCCTTGTGCCACCCAGTGGCCTTAAAAAAAAACAAATAGAAGTTAAATGTGTATATTGTCTTTTGTATGCCAAGGACTTGTAAAAATGAGTCAATATTGTTTCCATCATGAGGTTTTCTGAGGATAGTGAGTTATAACAATAAACTTTTACTTTCAGGATACAGGGTTACTACGGGTCACAGGGAAGTGCTGAAGCAGGCTGCCTTAATCTTGAGTGTAAATAGCACTGCATTAATAATGCAATATTTATCAGGGCATGGCTGAAAAGTTTAGATACCACCTGGGAATAATACTGTCATTACAACTACTGCTGCTTTTATTTTTCCACTACCTTGAATGTTTTCCCCAATGCTTTGTATTCTCTGCTATCCCTCTTTTTTAAAAAAGTACTTATATTTTTATAAAACAAACAAAAACCCAAACCAAAATGAGACAGATTGACACAGTGGCTGCAAGAATGGGTTCAAGCATAACAACAATTGTGAGGATGGCGCAGGACCGGGTGATGTTTCTTTCTGTTGTACATAGGGTCGCTATGAGTCGGAACTGACTCAACGGCACCTAACAATAACAACAACAAATTTTTATAGATTTAAATTTAAATATATACATGTACATGAAAAACTAGTCATCCCCAAAAAATCATAAATGGGGGCACAGAAGAATCATATTCTCTAAACATTCCTCCTGCAGACTGTAAGCTGTTCCCAGGTGGAGACCACGTCAAGAACACACTCGAGATCCCCTTGTCCCCAGCACAGAGTGACTCTTCAGTAAATTTGCAAAGTGAGTAAAAACAAAAGTTTCCCCTTCAGACTTTCTAAAAATTTCTTAGTAATAGCAACTTGCTTTGCCCCATGTAGCACGACTTACCAAAAATATGATGTACCAAAGTGTTATTAAAAAAAAAAAATCTCAGTGCCCTGTCTTTGACATAAAGCAAACCATACTGCCTATACAACCTGTACTCCCTGCTCCTTGTGGTTCTTTTTGGGTAGAGAAAAGGGGTAAGACTTTGGGGGAGCGAGGCAGGATCGAGAGTCTGATGATCCTCAATCCTCCTCGCAAAGCAATTTTCCCCCCTGCTTTTATCACAGGTACACTCACACACACACACACACACACACACTCAATGGGTGTGAGTCTACTGGGGTTCTGAACACAGGATGAAGCACAGTGACGAAGCCAAGCCTGGTGGTAAGAGGCTAAACCAAGAGGGCACAGCCAGTGTCACCTCGCCAATGGCCTCAGACAATACTGTTTTGGAAACAAGCTTTTTATGGGTACGTAAATGCTAATCTTATAGACAGCATTGGTCCCACATTCTCTTGATCAGCAGATTCTTCTCTTCTCTCTACCTGCCACCAAAGAAGTAAAATAAATCTCTGCCTTCTGCCCTGTTGTCATCGAGTTGATTCCGACTCATGGCGGCCCCATGTGTGCAGAGTAGAACTGCTCCATAGGGTTTTCAAGGACCTTTCAGAAGCAGATCACGAAGCCTGTCTCCCAAGGAGCCTCTGGGAGGGTTCAAACAGCCAACCTTTAGACTAGCAGTCGAGTGCTTAACCATTTGCACCACCCAGGGACTTCGCCTTGGATGATTTATAATCCCTGACCAATTCCATCTCCAATACTGCATGGGCAGAATTTCACTTCAGAAATGGCTCCAAATGCCACATGCAATCCAAGACAAAGCCACAAAATACACGCATTCTCAAGCCGTGGCGACTAGGGTCAAACTCCTGATGTGCACCAGCCCTTTTGTGGGAAAACAGCCCCATGTCTCGGCTGGATGATTCATTGCCGTTCAAAGACGGTGCCTGGCTTTGCAAAGGAGCAGGGCTTGCCCCTCTGATTACCATGCCCCCTGTCTGGGATGTCCCCTATCAGGACACACCTGAACAAGCACAAGGAGCATTGGAAAAGGAGTTGTCCTGTGAGCCTGAGGGCCTGAGGAACCTCCTCTGGACAGGCCAACAGGCCAACAGTCCAACGCCCAGATGGTTTCAGGCCAAGGAGTTAGACACGTTTTGTAACTCTTTTTCGGGTATCATTGCTACTGTTATTAGGTGCTGTTGAGTTGGTTTCAACCCATAGAGACCCTATGTACGATAGAACAAAACACTGCCCAGTCCTGTGCCATCCTCACAATCGTTGTTATGCTTGAGCCCCTTGTTGCAGCCACTGTGTCAGTCCATCTCGTTGAGGGTCTTCCTCTTTTTCACTGACGCTTTACTTCCCCAAGTATGATGTTTAGGCCCATTGTTGCAGCCACTGTGTCAATCCGTCTCTTTGAGGGTCTTCCTCTTTTTTGCTGACCCTCTACTTTACCAAGCATGATGTCCTTCTCCAGGGACTGGTCCCTCCTGATAACATGTCC